TGACAATTGCGCAGTCATGCAACACTGTACCCATATGAAATTTGTATAATTTTTTTCACACAAATAGAGCTTTCTTTTGGCGGTATTTAATCGCCACTGGGTCTGGGGGGGGGGGGGGGGGGGGAGTGTTAGAGGTACTAACAGATTTAGATACACTAACACACTGAAGCCAAACTCCAGCTCACACTTTATAATTAGTCACAGCAAACAGGTTTTTTCCTTTTAGGATAAAGGTTTTACATAAATAAAAGCTGATTGTTGCAAGCAACCCTGTCATTGTTGAACCGATTTGTCTTTTCCCTGTAACCGAAACATTTGGAGGAGATTGGTCTTTTGAAAAACAACAGACCTACTGGCCAAAAAAATGGTAAAAATAAAGGAAAGAAAGCCTGTAAATCTAAGAATTCATAAGATGAATATCATAAGTGTTTGCTTTTGTGTTTAATACTGCTTTAAAAAAAATTTCTTTAACTTTTCAATGAAAATCATTGGAAAATAAAAAAAAAATGAAGAAAAAAAAAAAAAAAAAAAAAAGAAAACACCAAAGTAAAGGTTAGGAATTCCAAACTATCTGTGGTAAAGAAAAGAAAAAGGAAGAAAAATCAATAGGAAATAAAGGAAAAGAAAAAGTATAAAAACAATTAATGTAAAATAAATAAATTATCTATCTATCTACATACACACACATTTTTTTTAAAATAATAATAATTATAGAAAACAAGAAAAAAAGGAAGAAAGAAACTTAAAAAAAATGCTGTTGCTTCCAAAAAATAACAAAACAGTGTATAAAAGAAGGCCTGCTTTCCTGCTGCCAAAGACTCTTCTACATTGGATAAGCACCCTCCACTGTGCTCTATGGTACCTCCCTCCAACCCAGGGGCGGACTGACAACTCATGGGGCCCCCGGGCAATAGGGGATCATGGGGCCCCTGTGTCCTTGCCCAAACTCAAAAAAGCCTATGAAAAAGGTACCAGGGGCATCTCATGGGGCCCCCTACTGACCCCAGGCCCTTGGGCAGTGCCCAAGTTTCCAAATGGTCAGTCCGCCCCTGTTCCAACTCCTACATCTCTGCTCTGCCCTGTAGCTATACAGCGACAGGCAAGAGGAACTACAAAGCACAGAAGGGGTCCAAGCGTCCGACAAACCCAGATGTGTCGAATGCAGAAGCTTCTTCTGGCACAGTTGGGTCTGCAATGCTGCTAGATCAACGGTGCGGACAGGAGAGCAGGTAAGTATTCACCTTTCTCTTTTACGGGCTGTTTTTTTTTAATGAAGACACTTTAAAAAACAAAAAAAAATAAACCAAACAGAAAAAAAAAAAAATCTAACAAGGAGGGAGAAATGAGAAGAAAAAAAATAAAAAGTAGAAAAAGAAAAAAACAAAGAAAAATACCCCTTTCCTTTGCTCTTACCCAAGCGATGATTAGGATCATCAGAGCAAACAGACACGGCCCCAGCATGTTCCAAATTCCTCGCCGATCAAGTTGCATAGACATTGCGATCACCAGGGATCCCAGCATGAAGAGCACCTGAGACAGGTAGAATGAATGTGTCACTATGAGCATAATCCTACATTGCCTGATATTTTTAAAGAGAACCTATCATAAGAAAAATGTGAGGGCTGCCGTAGCTGACTTCCTTGTGAAAATGTCATTGACCCTGGCTGTCTTTATTCAACTATCGCTGAAATTAGTGACCCCAAAAAAGCCTGCAGCAAGTAAAGCCAGTGATCTGAATCCTCATTACATTCAGGCCAGTGACTCAGAAATCAGATGGATCAACATAACAGCCAAGCAACCGGCATTTTCAGGAGAGGTCAACATAGACACCAAAACTTACAGCAAGGCTTTCCTTCAGAGCAATTAAAGTAGAACTCCAACTATTAAACCCCCCCCCCCCCTTCATTTCCTGTATATGAAAAAAAATTAAACTTATTCCCACTATACTTCAGTGCTGTCCTCGGCCTTCTCCTTGGGGTAAAAATTCAGATACGTCATTCTGCCCATTTCCTGTGAGCCCAGCCTGACATTTACAGGCCCCCAAGGGGGCACATGATCATGGAGACTGGGCTCATAACTCCGGGACTAAGCTGAGCTCACACGTCATTATGCAAGTACCGCTCAGTTCTGGATGAATGACCCTCCCACGCTGCAGGAAGAGGAGGCTGCTGTGTTGTCACCAGACTGGCTAGAGGACTGGAGAAAAAAATGGGTGTACTTTTTTTTTTTTTAATTAAAGTGTTACTAAACCCACAACAGTACAATCAGTCTGTAGATGCAGTAAAGCATGCTTGTTATACTCACTGTGGAACCTAAGGGGTTAATCCTCTGTATTATGTAAAAATACTGTTTGACCCTGTTTTCTCTGATCCCCCCATCTTCTACTGTCTCCAATCCTGATAGAACAGAGCCTTGGAGGCAAGGTCCACATGCTCAATTTGGTGTGTATTGCTAGAGTTTTTTTTTCTTGGGAGAGTGCATGTGATCAGCAAAGGGCCAATCAGCATTGTCTAGAAAGAGCGTCAGGGGTTATGCTGCCTCATAGGACAATAAGAGGAGAATAAAAACTCCTCCTACAAGATTAACCAGTGCTCAGCTTGACACCGACAGAAGTCACAAGACTGCTATATACTGCGGATGAGAAAATAAATTTAGCAGTTTATAAAATAATTGCATTTCCATTTTCTGTGTACTATAGGAGAGCAGATATAGTGAATGCAGGGTCCTGGGAGATCAGATACAGTGAATGCAGGGTCCGGGGAGACCGGATACAGTGAATGCAGGGTCCGGGGAGACCGGATACAGTAAATGCAGGGTCCGGGGAGACCGGATACAGTGAATGCAGGGTCCGGGGAGACCGGATACAGTGAATGCAGGGTCCGGGGAGACCGGATACAGTGAATGCAGGGTCCGGGGAGACCGGATACAGTGAATGCAGGGTCCGGGGAGACCGGATACAGTGAATGCAGGGCCTGGGGACACCGGATACAGTGAATGCAGGGCCTGGGGACACCAGACATAGAGAATGCGGGGCCTGGGGACACCAGATATAGTGAATGCAGGGTCCGGGGAGACCAGATATAGTGAATGCAGGGTTTGGGGAGATCAGATGTAGTGAATGCAGGGTCCGGGGAGACCGGATATAGTGAATGCAGGGTCCGGGGAGACCAGATATAGTAAATGCAGGGTCCGGGGAGACCGGATACAGTGAATGCAGGGTCCGGGGAGACCGGATACAGTGAATGCAGGGTCCGGGGAGACCGGATACAGTGAATGCAGGGTCCGGGGAGACCGGATACAGTGAATGCAGGGTCCGGGGAGACCGGATACAGTGAATGCAGGGTCCGGGGAGACCGGATACAGTGAATGCAGGGTCCGGGGAGACCGGATACAGTGAATGCAGGGTCCGGGGTGACCGGATACAGTGAATGCAGGGCCTGGGGACACCGGATACAGTGAATGCAGGGCCTGGGGACACCAGATATAGAGAATGCGGGGCCTGGGGACACCAGATATAGTAAATGCGGAGTCGGGGAGACCGGATATAGTGAATGCAGGGACCGGGGAGACCAGATATAGTGAATTTAGGGTCCAGGGAGACCAGATGTAGTGAATGCAGGGTCCGGGGAGACCGGATATAGTAAAGGCAGGGACCAAGGAGACCAGATATAGTGAATGCAGGGTCCAGGGAGACCAGATATAGTAAATGCGGGGTCGGAGAGACCGGATATAGTGAATGCAGGGTCCGGGGAGACCAGATATAGTGAATGCAGGGTTTGGGGAGATCAGATATAGTGAATGCAGGGTCCGTAGAGACCGGATATAGTGAATGCAGGGTCCGGGGAGACCGGATATAGTGAATGCAGGGTCCGGGGAGACCGGATATAGTGAATGCAGGGTTTGGGGAGATCAGATATAGTGAATGCAGGGTCCGTAGAGACCGGATATAGTGAATGCAGGGTCCGGGGAGACCGGATATAGTGAATGCAGGGTCCGGGGAGACCGGATATAGTGAATGCAGGGTCCGGGGAGACCGGATATAGTGAATGCAGGGTTTGGGGAGATCAGATATAGTGAATGCAGGGTCCGTAGAGACCGGATATAGTGAATGCAGGGTCCGGGGAGACCGGATATAGTGAATGCAGGGTCCGGGGAGACCCGAAAATAGTAAATGCAGGGTCCGGGGAGACCCGAAAATAGTAAATGCAGGGTCCGGGGAGACCGGATATAGTGAATGCAGGGTCTGGGGAGACCGAATACAGTGAATGCAGGGTCCGGGGAGACCGGATACAGTGAATGCAGGGTCCGGGGAGACCGGATATAGTGAATGCAGGGTCCAGGGAGACCAGATATAGTGAATGCAGGGTTTGGGGAGATCAGATATAGTGAATGCAGGGTTCGGGGAGACCAGATATAGTGAATGCAGGGTCCGTAGAGACCGGATATAGTGAATGCAGGGTCCGGGGAGACCGGATATAGTGAATGCAGGGTCCGGGGAGACCGGATATAGTGAATGCAGGGTCCGGGGAGACCAGATATAGTGAATGCAGGGTCCGGGGAGACCGGATATAGTAAAGGCAGGGACCAAGGAGACCAGATATAGTGAATGCAGGGTCCAGGGGGAGACCAGATATAGTAAATGCGGGGTCGGGGAGAGCGGATATAGTGAATGCAGGGTCCGGAGAGACCGGATATAGTGAATGCAGGGTCCGGGGAGACCAGATATAGTGAATGCAGGGTCCGGGGAGACCAGATATAGTGAATGCAGGGTCCGGAGAGACCAGATATAGTGAATGCAGGGTCCGTAGAGGCCGGATACAGTGAATGCAGGGTCTGGGGAGACCAGATATAGTGAATGCAGGGTCCGGGAGACCGGATATAGTGAATGCAGGGTCCGGGAGACCGGATATAGTGAATGCAGGGTTCGGGAGACCGGATATAGTGAATGCAGGGTCCGGGAGACCGGATATAGTGAATGCAGGGTCTGGGGAGACCAGATATAGTGAATGCAGGGTCCGGGGAGACCGGATATAGTGAATGCGGGGTCCGGGGAGACCAGATATAGTGAATGCAGGGTCCGGGGAGACCAGATATAGTGAATGCAGGGTCCGGGGAGACCAGATATAGTGAATGCAGGGTCCGGGGAGACCAGATATAGTGAATGCAGGGTCCGGGGAGACCAGATATAGTGAATGCAGGGTCCGGGGAGACCAGATATAGTGAATGCAGGGTCCGGGGTTTAGGAACACTTTAAATAAAAACATTACTGGGAAGGGGGCCTCAGGGGGTGGGGTGGGGGAGACAGGTTATTATTATTATACAGTATTTATAAAGCGAGAGTAGGTGGCGAGAGTAGAGAGTTGAAGGTGGAGAAGAGTCGGCGAGGATTGGAGGAGAGGGCCTTGATGAGGGTCAGGAAGTATGCTTGTTTTGGCAGTATGGAGGGAGGAGGTGTAGGTGTGGAAGGCAGATTTATAGCGGGTGAAGGCTTGTTGGGATTTGGTTTTGCGCCATAGTCGCTCCAGGGCACGACTGTGTTGTTTGAGGGTTTTGGTGTGATCAGTCTGCCAGGGCTGGAGCGGTCGGGGTCTGATGTTGCGTGTGGTTAAAGGCGCTAGTGAGTCAAGGGCTGTTGACAGCGCATTGTTGTAGGCGGTCATAGCCAAGTCGGGGCAGGACAGGAGGAGGATGCGGTCATGGAGTTGATCAGCTGCGGAGTGGAGGGAGGCAGGGTTAAGGTTGCGGAGGTTACGGCTGGTAGAAGTGTGACATTTGGAGGGGTAGGCGTTGGAGGACGAGGATATAGAGAAGGTAATCAGGTTGTGGTCAGAGAGAGGGAAGGGGGTGTTAGTGAGGTTGTGGGGAGCGCAGCGGTTGGAGAAGACAAGATCAAGGATATTACCGTCGGAGTGGGTGGTGGATTGTATGCACTGTGCAAGTGCAAAGGAGGAGGTTATGGGGGTAAATGGTGGAGTTCTGCTTTTCAATAGCTGTGGTGAGTGGGTCTGTGAATCGGAACCTTCAGTGAAGGTTCTGGTAGAGCTGAGCTCTGCATTGAGTAGCTCTTCACAGTCCTGCCAGCAGAGGGCAGCACAATAGTACATTGAAAAACTCAAAAACTGGAACATCTAATACCGTATATAACTGCATTGCAGTGATAAAAAAAGAAAGCTTCGGTTGGGCCTTTGTGAGCACCCAAAACGTATGTGCAATGGCAAAAGGGTGGGCTTTAATGCCTAAATGCCGCACAGATGTGTCAGTAGGCAGCCAATGTTTACGTGATGAGAAAATATCCGCTGAGTGCTCCCAGCACAAAGACCGAGCAGTCAAAGACACCTCTTGGTCCAAGCTAAAGATCAGTAGCTGGCGGGACCGGCTTCCAATTATGTGACGATGGTGATGACTCATTTCTCCCACCCCCAGGTGTTCCAAACTATATAAAGGGATGCCAGGGTAGACGGGAAGGGGTTAAAAGCAAAAAAATAAAATTGCCCAAAACCATTATCTCTTACCACAGGAGTTGTACACACAAAAGACCATTCATTTGCTACTTACATATTTAACTGGCTTTTTTAGCCTGGACATACACAGAATGGTCACCCAGATGGCGACGACAGAGCCAAAGAAGTCGCAGAACTGCAGGGTGTCGTAGTCCATGATACACATGACAGTCACTCCGGGCTGATCACAGGCATGATAGAACTGAAAAACAAAGCAGAATTCTGTATGATCACAGATGGATCTAGGTAATGCAGGAAGACAGACGCCTAAGGCGTACACAAGGCAGGGGTGCAATATCGCACATGAAGAAATAAAAAACACAGAAAATGTCTTGTGAGGTCTTTATATCATCGACAATCACAATTACAATATAATATAATCCATATGGTTGTAATGTGTGATTTTAGTTTTTAAAGGAAAAGAAATAATCAAAGACACCTCTTAGTCCAAGCTAAAGATCAGTAGCTTGCAGAATTATTGGAAGCTGGTCCCGCCAGCTACTGATCTTTATTTTGGACCAAAGGGTATCTCTTTGAATGTACAATATCTCACACACACTATATTGCCAAAAGTATTGGGACCCCCCTCCAAATCATGTGATTCAGGTGCTCCAATCACCTCCATGACCACAGGTGTACAAAGTCATCACCTAGGCATGCAGACTGCTTCTACAAACATTGGTGAAAGAATGGGTCGCTCTCAGGAGCTCAGTGACTCCAAGCGTGGTCCTGTGATAGGTTGTCACCTGTGCAATAAGTCCATCCGTGACACTTCCTGGGTACTAAATATTCCACGCTCAACTGTTAGTGGTATTATAACAAAGTGGAAGCAACTGGGAACAACAGCAACTCAGCCAACAAGTGGTAGGCCACGTCACATGACAGAGCGGGGTCTGCGCATGATGAAGCACACAGTGCGCAGAAGTCGCCAACTGTCTGCAGAGTCAATAGCTAAAGACCTCCAAACTTCATGTGGCCTTCAGATGAGCACAACAACAGTGCGTAGAGAGCTTCATGGAATGGGTTTCCATGGCCGAGCAGCTGCATCCAAACCTTCCATCACCAAGTGCAATGCAAAGCGTCGGATGCCATGGTATAAAGCACGCCGCCACTGAACTCTAGAGCAGTGGAGATGTGTTCTCTGGAGTGACCAATCACGCTTCTCTGTATGGCCATCCAATGGACGTGTCTGGGTTTGGCGGTTGCCAGAACGGTACTTCCCCTGACTGCAAGTTTGGTGGAGGGGGGATTATGGTGTGGGGTTATTTCTCAGGGGTTGGGCTTGGCCCCCTAGTTCCAGTGAAGGGAACTCTTAAGGTGTCAGCATACGAAGACATTTTAGACTGTTTAAAGCTTCCAACTTTGTGGGAAGAGTTTGGGGATGGCCCATTCCTGTTCCAACATGACTACACACCAGTGCACAAAGCAAGGTCCATAAAGACATGGAGGAGCCAGTTTGGGGTGGAGGAACTTGACTGGCCTGCACAGTCCTGACCTCAACCCCATAGAACACCTTTGGGATGAATTAGAGCGCAGACTGCGAGCCAGGCCTCCTCCCCCGACATCAGTGCCTGACCTGACAAATGTGCTTCTGGAAGAATGGTCCAACCTTCCCATAGACACCCTCCTAAACCTTGTGGACGGCCTTCCCAGAAGAGTTGAAGCTGTTATAGCTGCAAAGGGCGGGGCCAACTCAATGTTGAACACTACGGACTGAGACTGGGGGGCCATTAAAGTTCATGTGTGTGGAAAGGCAGGCCGACCAATACTTTTGGCAATATAGTGTATATATGTAACGTGCTGCGTAAATTTACGGCGCTATATAAGTACCTGTAATAAATAAATATTGATAGGAACTACAAAGAACTAAAGTAATACTAACTGAATTTTTTTTTTTTTTACACAGCTGAACTCCAGGCAAACATTTAAATAGACAGCATGCAATACATACATGAGGGCGGTTTTACTAGCCAAAGGATTTACATTTCTGTGTCCATCCATTCCTGAGATTTACACAGCTATGTCACACAGCACAAGCAGGTGGATGACGCCACTAGCAGTGAAAGGGTTCACAAAAAAAAAAAAAAAAGAAATGTTGAACCAGCTCTAAATAACCTGGCCACCCCTCCAGGACCCTGCTGCATGCGGTGGCCATCATGGCCTCTGCTGCTGTTATAGCAATCTGCACACCCCACACCACAATATACAGCCTCAAAATGAGTATCCATCATAATGCTCGCAATAGAAAACGTTCATTCATCAGCATGCCCACGTGACCAATGGGAAGCACTTCTTTCTTCTGGGTCAACTTACCAGAAGAAGAATCCTCGGATGCACTTCTCATTGGTCAGCTTAGTCACGTGGCTGCACTGACCAATAGGATCTTGCCAGTGCGAACATTATGAAGGATACCCAGTACAGGGCTGTGTGTGTGGTGCACAAACTGCTACACTGTCAGTATGGGGAATCACAGCAGCTGTGTATGGTGGGGTCTGGAGGGGTGGCTAGGATATATGGAGTTAGCGAACCTTCCCTTTAAGGGATACAATGCTGCCTTCTCCCCAAAACCAGCCTTCTGACTGGGCTGTGAATGAGCAGCTGCAGACTGATGAGGTCATTTCTCAAATCACTTCGCTCTCTCTTCCGATCAGCATGTTCCTAGTCACACCTAGCACACCTAATTGGGCTCCCAGCCCTGCCCTTCCCTCTCCCAATCTGCATACTTACACTAATTGCATATATAAAAAAAAAATGTATTAACGGCTACAGAGCTGAAATAATTTGTGTCTTATATCTGCCAGGAGTTCAGCTTTAAAAAAATAAATAAACTATATAGACTTATAACTTTACTATACTACCTCAAAAGGCATAAGATTCAGAGAGGACAGGTAGAATATTTATACGAGTAAGGGGCAGAAAATGGCAAATGACATACCGTAGAGAAAAACATGGTGTAGGCGTAGACCGCGGCCTCTACAAAATACAGGTTGTAAATGGCGACTATAATAGTGGGTACAAACATCAGATTACTGAGCGTCAGCAGCATTGTGGAGGTTAACTGCTGCGCCACGGACAGTGCGTTCCGGTCATCTGTACAACTCCAGCCAGCCCAACCTTGAAGAAGAAAACAAAATAAAAAAAAAAAAAAAATCACAATATGAGGAAATCATTTTTGAGGTATCTAAAACGTTCACCTTGTTATTTTTTACCTTGCAGAGCATCACCCTATTCCAATGCCCTTACATACCACATAGGAGACCTGCTCACTACAATTTATAGTTTAAAAGGAAACTGGAGGTATGAGAGAATTCAAATCCATTACAGAACAGAGAACACCAGGGTATGAGACCATTCTAATTAGAGTCTACTATCCAACAGTAAACAAGAGGATATTAAAGCCTTTTAATAAGAGTCCATTATCCAACAGTGAACACAAAGGTATGAGACCTTGCTAATTAGAGTCTACTATCCAACAGTGAACACCAGGTTATGAGGCCCTCCTAATTAAGAGTCTACTATCCAACAGTCAACACCAGGGTATGAGACTCTCCTAATTAGAATCTATTCTCCAACAGTGAACACCAGGGTATGAGACCCTCCTAACTAGAATCTATTCTCCAACAGTGAACACCAGGGTATGAGACCCTCCTAACTAGAATTTATTCTCCAACAGTGAACACCAGGGTATGAGACCTTGCTAATTAGAGTCTACTATCCAATAGTGAACACCAGGGTATGAGACTCTCCTAATTAGAGTCTACTATCCAACAGTGAACACCAGGGTATGAGGCCCTCCTAATTAGAGTCTATTCTCCAACAGTGAACCTTAGGGTATGAGACCCTCCTAATTAGAGTCCATTATCCAACAGTGAACACCAGGGTATGAGACCCTCCTAATTAGAATCTATTCTCCAACAGTGAACACCAGGGTATGACACCATTCTAATTAGAGTCTACTATCCAACAGTGAACACAAAGGTATAAGACCCTCCTAATTAGAGTCCATTATCCAACAGTGAACACAAAAGGTATGAGACCCTCCTAATTAGAATCTATTCTCTAA